GGAACTAATTTCCGCCGCAAGTGTATTATCGTGCGCACCACACACACAGCGGCCTATGAGAAGGGCACCATTGATTGAAGCAGTTATTCAAAGAGGTGGCTATTTCTGCCATGTTCACAGTGGGGAAAGCTAGAAGTGGATGGGCCATAACGCGGTTACGTATCATCGTGCCAATATCATACACATGCAGCTTAAGTTAGAGCAGAGTAGGGTGGCAATAATGTCGGATATTGCTTCAGCAGGCTACCGCACTCCTGCCGGTAGCGCATCAAAAGGGCGATAAAGGTAGAGAGGGGGGGGGGGGCTGCAGCTACTAATGCCACAAGAAGTCAAACTGGAGGAATGAGGACCTTGGCTGCTGCAGAGGAGGCTAATTGGAGGCATGCGTGCATCGTAGGGGGGGGGGGGGTGGAGAGGCAGAGAAGTTTCATTCGAAACGTTTTAACAGGTCGTGCACGCTGGCGCAAATCCATTGCATGCAATGTTTTTTTTTTGCTGGTGTGAGGTCTGAGCTGGCTGTCGGTTTATGAAGCTCCAGTACATTGTTGCCGATGATGAGACTGAGCAGTTGAAATCTGTTCAAGGTGACCTTGTCTGAACGAATGCCACCAAGAAGATATCAATCATCAAGGCTGATGAGATGTCATTTCGGGGATTGAACGAATCTTTAAAAAAATCAATGAATAAGCATGTCTTAAGTGAGTTGGTCTGTAAATCAGAATCACAGTAACTACTTTGGAGTGCTGGCCAAGTGTGGTGGCTGCAGTGGCTTTAGTCGTGATCTTCAATTTTGGATTGCGTATAGTAGTATAATGATCATTTCGATTCTCTTTTGTAAAACAAAAGGTGAAAGGCCGTCGAGATTTAACTTTCCACCTGAATGGTTGACTTTGGTACTAGCACAGTTACATCGGCCTGTTCAATTAACTCAACCTATAGAGTTACAGGGTATAATTTTCAAATTTGCCACGCGAATCTGTGGCACTCGACGGATGGACTCTCTGTTTACGTGGCATACGATCCACGACTGCCCAATCAAACGCCATCCGGGGATTAGAATAGCAGTGATTGTCGCCGTGGTGAGGAATGGTGCCTTCAACCTCGAAAATGTACATCCTTGTCACAGGCTGTCCATCCCCTCCCTTCCTCCCCCCACAAAGGGCCACCTCTGGACACCCCCTACCTAAGCATTGGGCAGTAAATCTCTCGAGAAAAAGGGGCGCGCACCAGAAAGCCATCGCATCAGCCGTCGGCCACAATGAAGGCGACCGAGAACCCAGCGCGCGAGCACAGAGCCCCATTTGTGCCGCTCGGTTTGAGCCTCGTAGCCTGAAGCATCCAGCCGAGCCGTGAAAGCCAAACGCACAGCTCCGCGTCCGAGCCCCCCGCGAGAGATCAAGGGAGCGGGAAGAAAGGAAGGGAGGAGATGTCGGTGTGGGAGCTTGGGGGGGGAGGAGGGGTGGTCACATTTAAGCTGGGGGTATTGAAAAAAACATTGATCAATTAATCTCCCATCATCCCCCGCCGTTGAGCAGCCTTCCTACAGCGACGAGACTTTTTGCCAATGTTGGTGCAGTGAGAGGACCAAAGGAAAATGAATAAACTCCCAGCCACTTCATTTCTCGCAGCGATTGATTTATCTCCCCGCTAATTATCTGCCACGTATTTACGACGATCAAATCACCATAAATGTGCCCGATCTTATCAGATCTTGGAATATAAGCAAGGTATAGCTTGCTTCGTACTTGGATCGGTGGCTATCAGGGCTGTCCTGATGTTATAGGCGTAGGGCTGCAAAGTGTGACCAAGAGATGGGCGATGCTGAATGTAATCTCCTCGTATACACCGCACCAAGACACATGGATGTAGGGTTGTTGCCACCATGCCAGGAATTGGCTACTGTGTTCAGGTGGCAGCAATTGATTTGTACCGAGATCTGGTACAGGTATCGTGTGGAACTTTCTACCATTAAACTGCAGTTTAAAAAAATACTTAGGCTGACTGAGAAATGTCTGGGTTTGATCTGCAAAAAAAAAAGTTGGCAACTCTACGCGGATGAGGGAACAAACACAAAATCAGAGCCATCATCAAATCGATTGTTGAGAAAAGTCATTGTGCTTGGGTAGAACAAATCGCTCAAAGAGATGATGGTTGATTGACAAAATGGCAGCCAAAGAAGAGAATGACCACTCCAGACACGAGGCAATAATATCAGTTCATGCACAGGAGAGAGACGGATCACAGCATTACAGGATAACGAGGAATGGTCATAGCGTGTAAAGAGGCTTTCATCCAACAGAGGATAGACAACAGCTCACAATGATCATTTAAGTGGCATTGACATCACATACGACCAAGCACTGGGCCCTACTGTGCAATATATACTTGTTATGCACCTTTGTGGAGCATTATGGGCAATACGCAGAATAAACACAGACTTTTATTCATTTCTCCAAATACACATTATATGTTGTTTGAGTCCATCAGCCAATTGGGCCTTTATGAGTATTATTCAGCAGCATTTGTTAAAGCAAGTAAGCCCTGGACTGGTTTTGGCCCTTTGGATCAGGAAATCATGCTCGTTAACCCAATTACATATGATGGGTTGCCAGTTATATTTGGCAAGGGCACTCCACCGTCACAAAGTGTATAAGAACCCCATTATACAATTACGTTCAGACGTCCATGTATCTTCAATGCTAAAGAGACATGCTGTCTCAATTAGATGTCATCGGGTAAAATATAGGTGCATTACCTGTTATTTACTAGACAAATTGTCGGATGATTATGCTTCCGTTGCTGCGTTGGCAGTGGTGTACTGAGCACCATTCAAACAAAAACCTAAACACTGGGTGTGTGGCCTTCAAAGCAAAAAAAAAAACAGAATACGGTATTTATTTATACTGGAGGAATCAGATGAAGCTACACAGAGCTCTTTTTCACAGATATCCAGTAAGGGTCGGGTCAGAACGTTACGATAACAATACAAAAACACACGTTAGGAGTGCAAAGTATAGAAAGGTAAACAAATCACTTAAAATATACACATAAAACGAAACTATATTTATTTTTTTATCTTACCAGGTAAAGCTTATTGAAAGCATTAACTTATTTTTCAGAAGCGACCTGGTCGCAAATGATCGCCGAACAAAGTGGTTTTATCATGTGGACATTTATAGCAGCAAAAAAAAATATCGAAATAATCTCATATATATAAAATAGGCGAACGTCTTTTTTGCCAGTGTCTACGACTTATTAGGGGCCGTCGATAAATGACGTCACGCACCTAGGGGGGGGGGGGGTCAGACATTTGTGACGATGTGTGACGAGGGGGGGGGGGGTGAGAAATGTGACGTCACATCAAAATGCGCAACTTTAAATAAATATGTAAATATGGACAACACGTTATTAAATAGACTTTTTGATGTTTTCTCCTACAACATCAGAGTGCAGCGCCACATTAAATACGCACTACAATGACAATAGTTTATAGCGGTTTGAAGCATGTTTTTTTTTTGGGGGGGGGGGGGGGGCAGAGCTTTGTGACGTCATATTTGAGGGGGGGGGGTCTGACTTTTTGTGACGCCGTGTGACGAAGGGGGGGGTCAAAAATCGTCCAAAATCGGGTGACGTCATTTATGGACGGCCCCTTATGTCGAAGGGACATTTGCCCAAAACGTCGCACATTCTAACGTGTCTTCTTCTTTTAAAGGCCACAGCGTTATTGACGAATCTGTTGAGTTTTGTTCTATCACGGAGATTTAACCAGAGGAGGATGAGGAGGAGGAAGAAAAGAGAGGGAGAGATATCTTAGTAGAAGAACAGAGAGTGAGTGAGCTTGGGTGGGTGGGTGAGCTTGGGTGGGTGGGTGGGTGAGTGAGCTTGGGTGAGTGAGCGTGGGTGGGTGGATGAGTTTGGGTGGGTGGGTGAGCTTGGGTGGGTGAGTGGGTGAGCGTGGGTGGGTGAGTGAGCTTGGGTGGGTGGGTGAGCTTGGGTGGGTGGGTGAGTGAGGGTGGGTGAGTGAGTGAGCTTGGGTGGGTGAGTGAGCTTGGGTAAGTGGGTGGGTGAGTGAGCTTGGGTGGGTGAGCTTGGCTGGGTGAGTGAGTGAGCTTGGGTGGGTGGGTGAGTGAGCTTGGGTGGGTGGGTGAGTGAGTGAGCTTGGGTGAGTGAGCGTGGGTGGGTGGGTGGATGAGTTTGGGTGGGTGGGTGAGCTTGGGTGGGTGAGTGAGTGAGCGTGGGTGGGTGTGTGGGTGAGCTTGGGTGGGTGAGCTTGGGTGGGTGAGCTTGGGTGGGTGGGTGAGTGAGGGTGGGTGAGTGAGTGAGCTTGGGTGGGTGAGTGAGCTTGGGTGAGTGGGTGGGTGAGTGAGCTTGGGTGGGTGGGTGGGTGAGCTTGGCTGGGTGAGTGAGTGAGCTTGGGTGAATGGGTGAGCTTGGGTGGGTGGGTGAGTGAGTGAGCTTGGGTGAGTGAGCGTGGGTGGGTGGGTGGATGAGTTTGGGTGGGTGGGTGAGCTTGGGTGGGTGAGTGAGTGAGCGTGGGTGGGTGGGTGGGTGAGCGAGGGTGGGTGAGTGAGTGAGCTTGGGTGGGTGAGTGAGCTTGGGTGAGTGGGTGGGTGGGTGAGTGAGCTTGGGTGAGTGGGTGGGTGGGTGAGCGTGGGTGGGTGGGTGAGCTTGGGTGAGTGAGCGTGGGTGGGTGGGTGGATGAGTTTGGGTGGGTGGGTGAGCTTGGGTGGGTGAGTGAGTGAGCGTGGGTGGGTGAGCTTGGGTGGGTGAGCTTGGGTGGGTGGGTGAGCTTGGGTGGGTGGGTGAGTGAGGGTGGGTGAGTGAGTGAGCTTGGGTGGGTGAGTGAGCTTGGGTGGGTGGGTGGGTGAGTGAGCTTGGGTGGGTGGGTGGGTGAGTGAGCGTGGCTGGGTGGGTGGATGCTTCTTGCGTGCCAGAGTCAGAACCGAATAATGGCCGAGGAAGGGGCGGGATTTCGTTTTTCTCACCCGGAACGGTCCGTTGGAGGGACCAGAGTTGCCTAGCGACCGCGTGTCGGCGTCCTCGAACGGAGCACGCCAGAATTCTCGACAGCATCTCCGCCTCTGTGTTTACCAACAACAACAAGAACAACAACAAGAACAACAACAACAGGAACACGCACGCACGCCGAGCAGTTATTTAACGCGCCGTTTTGACTGTGAAGTCATAAGCGTTTGTTTCGGTTTGGCTCACGGAGGCTTTTAACAACACAAAACCCCTAAATATTTATTGAATTCTCCGCGGCCGATGAAGGTAAACACAACCCTCTCCCACCCCTCATCCCGCAAGCGAGTTCTCACATTTACTACTACTGCGGCAGTTTACGCATTTATTTTTGGTATTTTGTACAAATTAGATTGTTTATGATGAAGCTCGCGAGGTCGCGGCTGTTCACGTAACGCGCGTTTTGCGTATTTTTATTCGCTAAATCCGACGTGAGGGTCAATGTTCGCATTCCTACCTCGGTCGTGGGTCGATAAATCGCGTACTAGTTTGGGGTGGGGGGAGAGAAGTCGACTTGTGGTTATGGTCTCGGGCTTGACGGGCACGAGTCTTCGTCACCTTAGTGATCTACCATTCATTTTATTTTATAACTACGTGACTTTACCGAAAGAACCAAAGAATATAGCTATACCATTCGTCAATGACAGCCACCCCTCTCCCCTATTGTTTGTTTGTTGTTGTCAGTCTGCGTCGGCATCGGTCGTGGTGGTGTGGGGTCGGGGGGTATTTGACCATACTTCACCGCGCTGGTCACTTGTAGGTTGGTGTAGACCCCCTACAGCAGGGGTCGGGAACCTTTTTGACTGGGAGAGCCATAAAAGCCAAATATTTCTAAATATATTTCATTGAGAGCCATATAGTATTTTTAACGTATAATAAATTAAATATGTCTTACTTTTAATGCGACTTCTGGTTCTGCATGGTTTTGCTGATGGCCTTGTAGTCTGGTTCATACGTGGTGAGGTTGAGCTTCATGCAGGCGTGACCCGTGAAATGTATTTAAGTATTTTTAAATCAGTTCCAAACTGATTTTTTTTTTCAACTCAAAATTGTCTGGGAGCCATATGCCGTCACTGGAAGAGCCATATATGGCTCGCGAGCCATAGGTTCCCGACCGCTGCCCTATACCAACCTACACCCCAGGCACCCTGTTCAGATGTCACCACTGAGCCACCGCTCCACCGGTGCATTCATATGTACTGTGTAATGAACCGTGGTTTGCTAAAGGTATAATTATGCATTGTAAGTGTGCATAAGCACGTATTTATCTTTAGACCTTCCATTCAAGAAGCGATGCCTAATATATCACTGGTAAATCACAAACGAGGAGCATACTCTTTACCCTCGCCATAGAAATGTGGAATTTCCACCACTGGCTCAGGACTGTAGACGGATGAGCTCAACTGAGTGGTGACAATGCATTGAAGTATGTCAATGTAGTATAGCAACGTGGTTGGTGGATCAAATAGAGATCGGGCCGTCACGTGCGAGATGACGCTTGGAGGAGGCAGTGCAGCAAGTAGGTTACTGTCAGGTTCTGTCTGTGTGGCCGAGAGGTGAGTGCTGTACCCTCATATATGTGGGCTTTCTTCGGGTGCTCCAGTTCATTCTTAAATGAACATTTAAAAAATACCCCAAAAGCAAACTCGAAAAATATTCCATGCAAAACCCCTCCTCAAAAAAATAATCACCTTGAGAGTCACTGAGGTGTTCCTGGGAAAAAGACCAGGACATTGTACAGCCTATAATGAAGTGTTCAGGGAAGCTTAGCGGAGTTGAGCCTAGACAGTGCTTGGATGGGTCATCACAATGCATGAAGAAGGTGATGTAGTAGTAGTTTTGTACTATGTAGTATTGTACTATGTGCCAACAGCTGTGCTCCCCACCTTCGCTAATCCACACTGACCAGCATGGTGGAGTATGATCAATAAGCACCACGACCCGCGTGGCGTGGGCAGCCTTTATCCAGCAGTGTATTAACAAACAAAGGCTGTACATGTACACAAAACTGTCAGAAGTCATACCATACTGGTTTGTACGGGGACCTCATTACCTTGCAGGTGGGTGTCTCCCACAGACCCCCTTCTCTGCCTGATTTGGTATCTTCACTATCAATTGGCTTGGGTAGTCAATGTGAAATTTCCACTGCAGTATGATGATTATGAGCAATGCCTCATTGCTCATTTGAGCAGTGAGATTCTTTTGGTCAGATTCCCATCTTGGAGAAATGACAGCAATGGCCAACGAAAATCATAACAACATCAACAATTTATATTGCGTTGTAATGCATGCAGCTGCATCTCCAGACATTGTACAGGAACTACATTAAGGCAGCTGGGGTGAGGGCAGGGAAGCATCGGAGAGAGCAGAGAGAAAAATGTACGTACGTATTTTGAGCTTCTTTCCCACCGTATGTAGCCAAACGTGCTAATCGGACAACAAACTAAACACAGAAAGCAGCTCTAAAGAAATGCGTTTTCAATCTCGATTTAAGAGTGCATAGCTCCAGTGGCTTCCTAATATCGGAAGGAAGAGCGTTCTAGACAGCCGCAGAAGCGCGTCTGAAAGCACGCGATGCAGTGACCGTCTTTCTTCGATGGACAGCCAAAAGCCACTGCGAGGATGACAACACTGTGGAACAGCCCGGGACAAAGCAACAGCGCCCAGCACCAACAATGGGCCCCATATACAACTGGCACAGTCAAGGCATAACTAATGTTTTTTGAGGATTTGCCCTGTTATTAATGGAAGGCATCGATCCATTTTTGCTAAAAAAATGGACGAATACGAACTTTCATTTAGATATATTCTGGTCCTTTGACTTCTAAACATGGACAAGAAACATTGACAAGTGACTTGTAATTCCATTTCCTTATCACAAGCGTCGAAGAAAGACAACAATGGCTCACGATGATATCGATACAGATACACGCGCACACACCAAACCATTAATCGGACATTTATCACAGCAGATCTCGCACGAGCCACGATCCGAGACAATGGCGGTGGCGGCTTCATCGGCGGTGGCGGCTGTGGCATCGGCCGCAGAACCGTCATCGACGTCATAGCGCGGTGGCGATGGATCGCTACGAGCGGGTGTCGGTGCTGGGCCGTGGCGCGAGTGGGGAGGTGCTGCTCGTGCGAGACTCGGCCGGCGCGCGTCGCCTCCTCGCCCTCAAGCTTGTGCCCGTGGAGCCGTGGCGGCGTGGGCGGTCGCGGGAGACGGTGCTGCGCGAGGCCGAGCTGCTGCGGCGGCTGCGCCACCCCAACGTGGTGGCGTGCCTCGAGCACTTCTTCGCGTGCGACAATGGAAGAGGAGGTGGAGGAGATGGCGGAAGAGCAGGAGAAGATGCAGCCGAGAGCCTGTACATGGTGCTGGAGTACTGCGATGGCGGGTCACTGGAGGACAGAGTTCGGAGGGCGCGTGAGGCTGGCCAGTTCATCGCCGAAAGACAGGTATGTCGTCGTTGTAATCAGCAGCATCAATATCATGATCAACTTTGCCAGCAACCGCAGCAGTAGAATAGCAGCAGCATAACTAGTAGCAATAGTATTATCATCATCATCTTCAGCAGTACCAAATGATGATCATCAGCAGCAGTACCATTATTAAATTGACATCATCTTCAGAAGCAGCAACAGTGGCAGGAGCATCATCAGCAGCAATAGCAGCCGTAGTAGCCACAACATCACGATGGCAGTACAGAAATTGGGTTCCTGTGCCATATGTTTGGAATTTAAGTTTTTGGTGTATCTCTTTTTCCTCTGCTTACCTCCTGTATGTCAAATGCTCATGAACATAATTGGCCAAAAATCCCAGTGCAGGGCTCTCCTGAAATAAAGATGATGTAAACAGATCATAACAAAAACGAATGTAATAAATTTATATAAATCTGTGCCTACCTGTGATGTCATTATACACAGAATTATACATAGCTCTGTTTGAGTAAAGCTGTAAAATAATCAAACAAAAGCATTAGCTACATAGAATGTAGACATATATGTCTGTGCTGTCATTACAATACAATTGGATGTATGTATCATCTGAAGTGCAACTACATCTGAAGATGCTCTTCCATGGTACAGGTCATGCAGTGGTTCGTACAGGTGTGCATGGCTGTGCAGTACATCCACTCTCTCAAGATCCTGCACCGTGACATCAAGACCTCAAATGTGTTCCTCACCAAGGCTGGCACGGTCAAGGTATCTCTCAGATATTTCTTTCTGTCTCTTGCGAGACTTAAATGTTTTGTGTAAAAGACCCCGACAGAGGCAGACAGATCAGCTTGATTAATGCCTCCCACTGAGGTATTGTTTGAGTTTTGGAACTCGAGAGAGAATACAAAATATGATTCGTAGTAGACATTTATAAAGCAAGATTAAAGCACAAGGGACATATGGGTATTTATTTTTCATGGGTGCCTGAACACAACTGGCAATTAAGTTATTCCTTGCTTTTAGTTTTAAATACAACTTTGCTTATGTGCGTGAACGTACAATACACTCATTGTGTGACGGAGAGCATGACCGTGAGATATTGTGTTGTATCCTTAAAAATAAAAGGTATTTTTTATACCACTATTATTCCGATTGCTCTATTGCCATAATGTCACAAGGTGTATTCATGCCCTGGAAAATAATAATAATAATATCAAAGTGCCCTGCTCACCTTTGGCTCACCCACAAATACTAATAGCATGGAGAGAAATTTCCTGGGATAAAAACTCCAGACCTACATAAATAATCCAAGTCCTGTTATATTAGGGGTTTTATTGGTCTTATTCCCAATTTAATGTCAACTGTGCCATGAGATCACGAATCAATTCCGATTTCTCACAGAGCAGTGTGAGAGAATGGCCGATGGAAGGTGATATCACAGAACTACGTTTGAGGTCCCTTCTAGCAGCCACTTATCCACACGATGGACATTGCACTTTCCTGAGATGTGTGTCGAATGACAATCCCACCAAGAATGTATTTATTTAATGCTCAGAGCTGGAATTATGTCACTGAAAGCTCAAATTGAATGTGTTTTGATTTATTTTGTGCATCATTGGTGACTCGTCTGACACTGTCAACTCACTGCACTTGGCACTTCGAGATGTTCCACATTGGGGGCGCGGTGTAAATGATGATAATGCATTTGAGGACCCGGTTTAATCGTGGGTAGCTGCCTGGATTCAAACCCAGGATTTCAGTGGTTGTGAGAACCCAGTGCTGGATAGATGATTGCATCGCACGACCGTGAGGGATTGCTACGGTGTGGGGAGATCGTCATCCAGCAGTGGATTTATCAAGGCTTCATGCAAGAGAACTAGGCGGGGTAGCTTTCCGACGAACGATTCCAGATTTTCTGTAGCTCGGTTAACATCTGCATTTTGCAGATTTCGTTTTTTTTTTACTTATTACTTTTTAAACGGCTTTTGTATTTATTGGGGCCATGTATTTAGTGACGCATTTTTCCATATGTACTAGAAAAATCTATTTCAGAAATAAACCAATAACAGTAACCCCTTGGTAATCTGCAGGTTTTAGGGTCCAAGGCAATCATTTGGATTAGTGAGCGCCGTGGATTAGTCAGACAGTTTTAATTAAAAGAGCTCGCACGCAGTGTGCAACATTCTCATTACTGAATTGCATGCGTGGCCAGCAGGATGCTGTAAAGCCTGTTGTGGTGTATTTTACCCAACTCCCCCCCCCCCCCCCCCCCCCCCCCGTAAAATGTTGTCCCAATTCCACCCCAATAGTGCTCTCTGTGTCGTGAGACAAAGTGTCGTTTTAGTTGTCTTAAAGAGCAGTGGGAAACAGTTTCTTAGAGAAGGGCTCACGGAAGCGGATATCACAGACCTAAATTTGAGGTCCCTTTAGTGACATGCAGACCACAAAGTATAGCGGGACATTTTCTCATTCGCCCTGCCACGTGAGAGTAATGTTTGTCGCACGACAGGCAAGCCATGCATTTTTTTCATTCTTGGAGCTGGTATTGAGAAAAATATGTGATGGTTTTTTGTGTGCAATAATTGGTGACCAGGCTGAGACCATCAATTTACCATACTAGGGAACCATATTTAATTGCAAGTGGCCAAAATCCGGTTGCGAACCACAGGACCTCAGTGGTGCCGACTCAGTGCTCTGTTCTCTGAGCCATCTGGATACCTCTAACAAATAAAATAAAACACCCGAATGTTAGAACACACTTACTGCAGTGTGAGACATTTTACATTTATAGGGCCATGCAAGAAAAGGTGACAATACACCCACGAGTCACATCATCAGTGAGCGCGCATGGTCAGCTTGCCACTGGTCTCATAAAAAAAAAATCTCATTTAGGACAACGTACACCCCTCTAAATTAAATACAGTATCTCATTTTATGAGCAAGGGCCGGAGGGGATGGAGAATCGGATGCGGAGTGAGAAGTCCAATCGATGTGCGAAGTATGAGCAGAGCGCGGACAAGGCGCCGAATACGCGCCGGTTCGCCTCGCGCGCAGGGTTGAATTACCCGGGACGATGGGTTCACCCGGTGGGTATTTCATGCGTACGGGAGCGAGGGGCTTCCCATTACTCGGGGGCCTGCTGTAAGTAAAGATGTAAATAATAAAATGCGTATTGCACATTCAAAGTGGATTTCAGTCGCGTGGGTGTTTTTGCATACGCCTGCCCGAGGAACTGGAACACGCCAATCGCTTTGGGTTTTTGTTTTTGGCGAGTTAATGCGGCGGCAATATCTGTTGCTTTAATAATTGGTGTAATGTCATAATTCATTCTGGGAGCACGCGCAGCGAGAGCGGTAGCGAATTGCTCCAGTGGCTGCAATTAAAAGCAGAAATGGCAAAAAATGCTTACGCTGGGACATCTTATTAAAGCAATTATTAATGCATACCAAGATGTAAAGTAAAAATATAATTAGCGGCCAGCATTTCTTAAATCGTTGCCGCTAATGCTGTAGCACTGTCTCACTTTGTGGGACGTGAGCCAGGGGTTTTTCAGCTTTTGTAATTCTTTGGTGAGAAAAAATGTAACCGGTCCACAAACGATGGTCGGCAGATAGCATCCGCAAATGCCCCAAACTCACTACGTGCAGTCAGTAGGAAGATCGCAGGCTAAGAGAGTTTTGGAGGTGCCTCCTCAAGCTATGCTTGCAAAGAAGACACAGTGGAGTGATACAAACCTACTTAAGCCCTGCACCACAAAGAAGAAAGAACTCCCGATATAAGTACAAATAACTAGGTAACATTTTGTTTTGCCCATTCACTGTCAGGCATATTAAAGCCAATGCCATTTATTATCCCCTGTTGACCTATGGGTATTCCCGATTGTCACTTTTGTTTAAACAAGGTGTTTAACTTCATTGAGTCTCAATGGCAAGGTATGTACTCAAAATGAAATGCCAGCAGGTAAGCCGATACTGTGGGCAACAGCATACAATACGGTGCAAAAGACGGATTTGTAATATTCATCATCACCATTATTCATCATCATCATCATAAGCCATGATCAATCCACTGCTGGATGAAAGATTACACCTATCACCTACACACGAACTGATTTCGTCGCTTTGTCTCTTTGAAGAACGTCCTCTCAGACGCATTCTATTAGCATTGCGTGGCATTTTTTGTTGGTATTTATATGAATACTCGCCTATAGCCCGTCCAAGGACGTGTGTATATGGCAGTTAATCTGAAATATTGAATTGAAAATAATGACCCGCTCATGATTATTAATGAGGGGTGCGGCATGTGGAGTGACGTCACGCGCAGGACACACATTCTTGGCTTTTATTATATTAGTAATTTTATTTACTAGCTCGTGTAGGTTTGTGATTAATTATGGGCACAAGACTCAAAGAAAGTGCTTATTTCGAATTGAGTTAAAATAATGGCAAATTTTCATCAATTTAACAATGTTGGTACAGTCTTATTTTTTGGTTGCATTTTGTTTGATTTTCTGCTCAATACAGATTGATGTATAGTTGGTTAGTACGACAATCATTGAAAGAACAAAGTCAATAAAGGGTACTGACATAGGAAATGCCAAAGACAAAGGACACCCATATAGCCTACTAATGCTTTTAAAAAAGCACTGTTAGTGAGCTCCTAGTAAGGCTTGCAATGAGAATATGGTGTGACCAACACCACTCTTGCTGCCTTTGCTTTCGTCGTGCCGACATCTACACATTGCAGCAGGAACTAATTTGAGGTCAAGTCCACCTAGGGGAAGCCAAGTCCTGGTTCAGATATTTGCCACCGATATTGGCCGTGAGAGGGAGTATCACTCAGGTCACCTGGTTCATAGCGCAGTGCACTAAGTTCTCCGCTATCGTTCGGCAATACCACACACATACAAAGTAACATTGAACAACTGTCGTTACGTTATGTCTTTATATACACACACACATATTTATCGATATAGCAATGTACGTGGACCATCCATCTAACCATTCGTCCATGTGACCAGCCGTGTGCCCATCCACCTCTTTATCTACAGTGTTGCATGCCCCCCGCGCTCGCGCATTAATTCATCCTCCCGGCGATCGGTTTGCTCGCCGACCGGTGGGCCCCCCACCCCCCGAAGGTCGGTGATTTTGGAATCTCGAAAGCCATGGAGGGGACCCTTGACATGGCGGTGACGTGCGTGGGAACGCCGTACTACCTGAGCCCGGAGATGTGCCAAGACCTGCCCTACAGCTCCAAGTCGGACGTGTGGGCTCTCGGCTGCCTCCTGTACGAGCTGTGCGCCCTGAGACCTGCCTTTGAAGCCAACAACATAATCAGGTGTGCGCGACGGCGGGCCGTGGTTCAGTTTGGAAAAGGAACTCGGTTTTTGACCGGGACAGGCCTCGTCTTTAAAAGGAAAGGCTGTTCTGGTGTCCGAAAATGTCCGTCAACAACGAGTCTTTTGTCAAGATTTGCCTCGTTCACTTATTCACTGCTTCCGTATTCGGAAGGAGAGAGGAAATACTGTACGTCACAAAATCTGTTACGATAAAAATTGTCGCGTAGACAACAGGAACATTTTAATTTTATATTTAATGTAAACATTTTAACGCTGAACATTTAATTTCGTCAGCTATCAGATGTTTACCTTTGAATTCCTACTGCACAGGTCTTATTCAGAATAACTTATTTGGAAAGACCAACCCAACTCATATTTGAGTACCTTTGCAAAATCTTGGTAACGCCACTTGTTTAATTAATACCAAGTCGTGTTGCCATTTTGGTTCGAATTTTGTGGGAAATGAGACCAACAACTCTGGCCAGCTCTGAGTCTTCAACATCGCCTTTGTGGACTTTCTGTCAAAGTCGGCGTTACTTGTGCGCTGGTACATATGTATGTATGTTTAACTTTTTTTCTATGGAGGAGGCTCATGAAGGATGCTACTGGTCAGTTGGAGGCAATCGCCCTCCAACAATAACGGGGGGGAGAGAAGTGACACAACGATGAGCGGAGCGCCGGGCGGCTAAAATGCAGCAAGTTGGCACAGTAGGGGGCACAGCTGGTGCATGTGCCAGTCATCTCAGTCAGTCAACCCATGGCACCTGGGTCTGTCTCATAACCTCTTGTCAGCGAGCCTTCGACACTTGACGTTGCCTCAAAGTGCACCTGGCTTGGCATAGGCGCCGTGGAGACGTCACCGTCACTTGGAAGCGAATAGCGGGTATTGTATTGTCTTGAACTTTGTTCGGACCGTATGTAGCCAACCGTGCTAATTGGAGGTACCCGCTCACCCGCCACAGCCTCTTCTACAAGATAATGCGCGGCGAGCCAGACCCGCTGGACGAGAGCTACTCGTGTGACGTGCGTGCGCTGGTGGCGCTGCTGCTGAGCCGCAGCCCAGAGGACCGGCCGGGCGCCAGTGCCGTGCTGGCCTCGCCGTACGCGCAGCGCCACCTGCGTCTCTTTGTGCGGGAGTGTGAAGACCGACGGGCTGGACGGGCACACAGGTAGCGTACGGTTTAGTGTGCGGGAGCGAGTGTGTTTAGTGCGCGGGAGCGAGTGCGTTGCACCGGAATTTCTGTTTGTGTCGTGTTTGTGTTTTGCCGATTGGATTATTTTGTGGCTTTCTACATGTTATTGTTGCGTGTTTGCAGTGCCACCTGCACGTGTCGGTGTGTGTAACAAATGCTCCTCCACACATCTCCCACTTTTGTATGGGCCAGCAAAGCTCTCTGTGTCTCTCTGTGAATGTCTCACTGTCACTGTGTTTGTATTTTTGCACGTCTATTTCCACGTCTTTCTCTCTTCACCTGCCTCTGCGTCTCTCCCCCCCCCCCCCCCCCCCCTGTCTCTCTCTGTCTTTTCCTGTGCCCATCTCACTCCATGTGTCCGTGCCTCTCTTTTTTTCTCTGTTTCTATAAATTGTGTAACACGGCATCTTATCATCAGTGCTGTTTTTCCTCCCCACACTGTGTGTGCACAGGGCCACGTTTGCTTTTGAGATGTCTCTGGTTATCAGAGGCATGGTTATAAGCATAGGTAGATTGAATCCCACGTGGCAATGCCTTCCTCTTTACCTCTGTCTGTGACTGTCTCTCTATTGCTATATAAACGTGCTCACTGTTTTTGTGCAGCGTCTTGAGATGTGGTTACATTTAGATCCAACATAATTCCAAATTGTATCTTTGTACTCTGTGCTGTCAACCCGCCTGCCCCTGTTCAAGTTGAGGCTCAAATCCTTCATTTTGTTTTTGCTCAGCCCATATGCTGACAATCTCTTTCTCTCTTGCGTAAAAATAAATACGCAGCCTCCCGATGTGTGGTCCCATTTGGATGCTGTAGGAATCTAAATTGCATTGTAATTGTATTGCAATGAACATAGTTCACAAGGGCAGGTCATTGCGTGTCAAACGCACGTATTATATTAAGAGCATAATATAGATTTGGGACTCAAAACAGTTCACCTTCATTGTGATGAAATGAATTGTCACAATTCAGGGTCATGGTTCGATTTAAAAATAGATGTTTTCTCTTGTGGGTGAATGTAGCAGCCTCTAGTGGTGCAGAAGTCACATTAACCCATTACATATTAACAGGGGTAGTAGGTTCACTTGAGAGACACACTAATTCAGGAGGCAACACGTTTATTCTACGACCACAACGGGGTAACTACATAACCAGTAATCACAACGGGACAACTACATAAACGGTAACCACCACGGGGTAGCTATATAAACGGGTCAGGTCAGTCGGCACACTGCCTGACCCACGATGCCGAGCACGAAGACCGGAGACGGAGGAGAAGACGGAGCACGGCGGGTTCCATTCCAGCAGACAGCCCCGATGTGGCCCCGCACCTCCCTTTTATGCCCCCCTTGGCTCCGCCCTCGGCCACGCCCTCTTCTGGAACTCACCAGAAGGTTCTGGGCCCTACACCACGTGTCCCTTCTGTCACCTTTGGCCCACATCCCTACCCTGTCCTGTCACGTGCCCTTGCCAGCCAACTGGGCTGCTACGTCCTCAGATGCCCCCTCTCTGCCAGCCACCAGAACCATGCTCCCCTAGGGACCCTTTCCATGACATCGCGTACCCTGCAGGCAGAGAGGGCTACTACACTCGCAGTTCCCCTCTTTATCAGTAACTGGCACGAGGCGCCGTAGTGATAGGCCTCGGTAAGGTAAGGTAATTTACCCTTTTTACCGGGCGACGACGACAACGGTGATCACTCGTGTTTCACGGCAGGGCGTCGCGCTCGGATCACAGCGGCTGCGTGGACGCCGTGCGGAGCAAGTCGTCGTGCTCCCCGCTGGCGGGCGACGGGCTCGCCGCGAGCAAGGGCTCGCACGGCAGCGGCGACGGTGACGTCTGTGGCGGCTTCGACCCTAGGGCCAAGTCGGCTCCCCCCGGCCTCCCCGGGAATCTCCACGAGGCAAGTGAAGAGGAAGATGAAGAGGAGCGGTCCTCACCTGGGGAGGTGCGAACCTGCTGCTACGTTTCCATGGCCATTGCTGAGCGCACCCAGGCCGTGCTGTGTTGTTACAAAAACGGTCCCAGCATGACTCGTTTCGAGAATAATATGAATATTTATTTATATTGGAGGAATGTGATGAGCTATAAAGCTCTTTTTAACAGATGACGCAGCAGTTCCATGGGCCCGACTCCTAAAAAAATACCACCCTTCAGAAATTCTGTCTTCCGCGTTGACTCCATGACGGTACAACAGTCTGGGTGAAATCATGCATCTCTCTTCTTAAATGCAGCCACAGGGCCCACTTTAAGCAGGCTGCCCAGGCCAGTTGGTATTGGCATGGTCCACGAAGGCTACCTTGGAAATTCAGACTGAGCCCTCTTGCCCGTGTTCACTTTTCGGGCTGGCTCAATTCCCAGTGGCTGCATGTGATGTGCAGGTGTGGTTCTCACCATTGATCAATTAAATTTCGATTTAAAGCTTTCGTGACTGCAGGGATTCATCTTCTTGGTTCTTTCGGTAAAGTCACGTAGAAGGGAAATAATGTTTTATTTTTATTATTTTATTATTTCCCTTTTACGTGACTTTACCGAAAGAACCAAGAAGAACATTGATCAATTGTATGATAATAATGCTTTTTGTGATGGCTATACTATATATATATGGGATGCGGTGAAGCTTCCCAAGGTAAATTAAAGACACTTAAATAAACAGTGTGCAATCCACTAACCTCATCTCTCAGGTATTAGATCACAGCCATGTTGCCACTATACCTGGCAAAATGTAATATCCCAGTTTGGTTCTTCTATTCATTATGTAATAATGCTGAAATGTATACGCAACTATGATTCATTTTACGAGTCAGTCACCATGGGAATGAGTGTAGATTCAGGCAACTACTAACACTAAGCAATGCATCCATCGTGTTACACTCGGGAACGGCCCTGGAAGAGAAACCACAAAACTCTTTCCACTGTATCGTCTGTTGCCCCCTCGCCACTTCATACGTGCTGTCGCAGGAAAGATTTACCACGCATCAATCATTTGATATATATATACCCTAGAGCTGGGCCATCCCCAATTGAGCGAAAAAGCAAATTTATATGATGGTTTTTATTTTTGTGCAGTCATTGGTGACCGGGCTGAAAGCATAAAACTCGCCGCGCATGAGAAAACTCAGTCCTAATGTCAGGTGGGAGACTGGGATTTCGGTTGCCTGTGCTGGCTCAGTGCTCCGACCACGAATATAGCGTTGGCGACCCCGTGCCAACTTTTTAAAAGGCACGTGTGAGGCCACTGTAGAGACATGCACTACCTCTACGATAAAAGAGACTTGGGGGAAAAACAAAAAACTTTAGTTACAGATTGTTCGGAATGCGAAGCGGTTGAATGGCGAAACGTCCCCAAAGTGCCGTGAAGCAGGAATGTATTTTGGTTAAAATGTCTTCTAATGCATTTTTTTTTTGCCGTTGAAGCTTGGAAACGAAACTTTGTGCAGATTTTGCCCTTAAAAGCGAATGTCGGGCAATGCGCTCTGCATAATGCGGAAACGCATCGCTACATCTAATTATCTTAACTGTAACCCCCAAACGTGCACGTTACCTGCAACCGGATTGTTAAAATATCATAATAACGTCTGTTCCTTCAAAGCAAATATCACAGATTTCCGTCATCACGAAAATATTCTCATCTTCTTAAATCGAAGATTTAAATATGCATGCAGAGGTGGTTCAGTGGCTAGGGTATTATATCACTGAGCCCATCACACGGGTTTCAGCTGCCTGTGATTAAACTGGGTTCTCAAGTGTTTGAAACCAGACTCAACAATGTATAAAAAGCACGCATTTATTTGTGCATTATGCCAGGAACTATCAACGTTTCCCTGAATATGTGCATTGTGGTCCTCTTATCTTTGGTCACCATCAGTCGCATTTGATCGAATGTAACCAACTGGTGACTGATTTTCGTGGTGATCTAAGACATGATGACTACAATAAATTTATTCAGGTTTTGCCGATGGTAATTGCATATGTGCAAAAGGCTGCGTTTTATTCATTGTTGCATCTTATTTGAAACGCATGCTTTTTTCAGCCTGCACTTTTGTTGTGTTACGATGGGATTTTTTCCATCATACACAGATCTGATTGGCAAGTGTTGCATTTATGGCCTCAGCCTAATAACACATGAATCAACTCATCATGTTAAAATCGGTTAATTCACTTTATTTGGCAAAACAACATCAGCTCTGAGAACTTAATTTATGTTGAGTGCCAATGGCGTGGCCACTCTCTAAATAGGATAAGAGACAACTTGAAGGGACCTCACAAGCAGTTTTATAACATCACCTTCCACAGATCGGCCTCGAACGTGGATCGATGCGCCACTCTCTGAGAGTTTGGAAATTGATTCTTGGTCTCATGACATGATGCCAATACCACAGTTGGAATTAAATTGGGAATGAGACAACAAAGACAACAAGCAAAACATAATAACAGGGCTTGGATTATTTATTTACGTCGGGAATTATTTTTTTCCAGGAAATTGCTCTCCGTGCTATTAGTGTTTGCGGGCGAGCCCTTAAAGGTGAGCGGGGCACTTTCTCATTATTACGTTCAAAGGCATTCATGCAACAGCTCCTGTCCCTGGGATGAAACTTAGGGTCCAGTTTGCCAAATTGAATGGGATTAGACATTAAAGAAGCAATTCATTTTATTTTTTCAATCTACTCTTTTAGTGGCTTATTGCTGGGATTTTCGGAGTTAAAATAGTGGCAGGCAGCCTTTCGCTTTTACATTTTGTCATTTCCCAATCGTATTATGCTTTTGCTGTTAGCCTCATGCCATGAGACAGTGTTCATTTGGGGCTCTCGCAGAGTAGTGTATAAACCGGTTAGAGTATGACCAATTAAAGCACATTTCACACAACGATGGAGATGTTTTCAACAAGTGACGTACCTTATTTATATGATTTATTCCACAGGGGGAATGTTCTTCGCACGGCAATCAAATGTATATATTTTTTTCTGGTACTCAAAGCCAGGATTCGAACTCACAATCTCAGTGTCTCTGACCCCTGAGCAACCACAGGCCACGTCAAGCCCTGTGGTTTTTTAAAAATCCTTTATATTAAGTTCACTTGCTTGCTTGCGCGCTTACGACCGTGCAAATCTTTCGGTCGTTTTTTCACCCACTTCCCGTGATCCAATCGAGCTGACATTTTGCACACAGACTCGTTGTGCGTGACAATTTATTTTCGTGAACATTTTTTTCCAAAATTTTCCACATTTTAGGATTTTTTTTTTCATATTTAATTAAAAATACCAATGTGATCAAAATGAAACTCTTACTCAAGAAAAACAGAAATGAATAATAAAATAAAACCGATGCCACGCATATAAAGGATTTATAGTGAAAAACTTTGTTTTTACGGGTTAATTTTAAAACGTCCAAATACACTGCTCCCCCTAGGATCCTGGGAGGCACGGCTCGTCCCCGGAGCCCAGCGACTACTCCGACGATTTCAGCGACGAGGGCAGCACTCCGGGGAAGAGGAGCCCCGTCTCGTCGGTCGATGAGGAGGTGGTCGAGGTGGACGATGCACAGCTCGGAGACGACGTCCCTGAGGAGCTGGAGGGTGAGGGTTCGGGCCGGGGGCTGGGGTGGCAGCGGCCAAGGCGACAGTGACGGGGGCTCGATAAGAGTAGAAATGTATTTGCGGAATGTCACGAAAAAGAGCTTCTATATCTCAGCGAAATTGGGCTTGCAACTTTCGATTTGTGGAATGGCTATGCAAATGTAACAGCAAGACACTTCATTGCACAAAGGTAGAAATAATTCTTGTTATCTATATTTTTTTTGCAATTATTACGTAAGCCGTGTATTCTGCACTTTTTGACATTCATATTTGTTCGTTTTTTTGTTCACCCTGGGCTTTTGTGCGGTCCACACACACACAATAAGCTGCCAATAGCCAGTGTCAGAAAAAAAACTCAGTCAATCGAGATACGCAACTCATTCTTTCTTCAATATGAGGTAACATTTATTTCCATGGGAGAAAACACAAACACAATCCCGGCCCACCACCCGAGTAGCTGACAGTGGGAAGGGGCAGACAACGGAAGCGAAGATCCTTGAGCTTTTAACTCCTGATGATGGCGGCCTCCAATAAACCCCCCCCTCCCCTTCCGCGCAGGTTACCAATGTAAATGTTACGTTGGATTAGCGGTGCTTTGTGCGCAGATTTGCGGAGCGAGTCCCGGCTTTGTGGCACCCAATTATGGGAAGTTGAAGCTTGGCATTTTCACTCGGATCCACGAGAGGACTTATCTCGGCGTGTCGGTGCAGACGAGCGACGTTGGAGAGATGTCTCCGCGGCGGCGCAGGGGCCGGCGAGAGATGAGCCTTATTGGTTTAAGATGAAAATCAGCGCTGGTTTTACCAAACAATTGGCTCAAACTGACCTTTTGCAACTGAGAGAGAGAGAAAAAAAAATAATTGGAAATAAAGGACTTGCAGATAACGCTGCCCCGCTCCTTATTGCAGCGACGGTGCGAGGGACGGCTTTAGCTTTCGCCGCGACAGCCCTCGTGACCGACTTTCATTTGATGCCACCACCGCTGGCAGGTGTTAATTATTTATATATCTATCTATCCGACCTGCGTTATCTTGCGTCGCCACAAGATAGTTGGCTGTCAGTGTGCAAGCGAAGGCGCAGAAATTCATTTTGCTTCCTTGTTTCCTTGGACTGAGGCCAGACAGATGTAATGTTTTTCGTCCAAGCCTGAGCTGCCTCGACCAACGAGCAAATTTACCACCACATTCTTTAACCGATGAGTGCTTTAATACCTTTAGACATGAGCTGTGGTCCGGAACCACGCTTTATCTAATGGCGCCGCGCCTTGGCAAAGCTTAAAGTACTTTTTTACATTAGATTTGTGCGGTCCAATGTCTCGGTGATTAATGCCCGTGCCTTTTCTCGACGATAAAATGGGAAAATGGTTCTGCGGGGTTGTACTTTGCATAAGACTGTCACGCCATCAGGGCCATAATGCCACGGCGTCCACATTGGGTTCTCTCCTGCCGTCCATCCCATCTTTGTGCTCTCGTGTCCACCTTAATCTCTTATTCGTTTGATTATTATTAATGCTCAATATATTTTTTTCCCTCCCTCTTTACTTCTTCCCTCGGCCACCTTTAACTCGAAATGCATTCAGAGGCGCGTCGTGTCAGCGTGGCCTTTTAAAGGTGTCCCCGGTGTTAGTGTTGCATTGCCGCTAGCCCGCCTACTTGTGCGCGGTGCTTTTTGTTGTAGTTGTTGTTGTTGCACGCTTGCTAATAGAATTTATCACACCGAGGCCCGAGCTGAGATTCTGCAGAAATGCCATGGGCATTGTAAAATAAAGCTTTCTGTGTGTTAAAATAAATAAATAATTGCGTAGATTTCATGCTATTAACGTGGAAGAGAACCGCGTCTACAATGGCGTCAGCTGACTCATCATTTAAAATGCGAAGCGAACACTGTGGCTCAGGAGACTTGTAGATATGTACCTAGGGCTGCGTGCGCCTGGGCTGTCAGATGTCAAAGCTTCGTTAGCGAGAGGAAAGATTTCTCGTCTAGTGGTATGCCCTGGTGATGTTGTACAGCTGTTTGGTTTACTTTCTCTATTCATCAGTGTGCTGATATCACATGAGCACATTTATTAAATCTACTTGCAAGGAAACGTTCAAACTTGTACGGGATAGCCCGGGACACAGCCTGCGCGTGTGTGTGTGTGTGGCTGCTGTTGAGATAAGAGTTGTTCATTTTTTGGGACTGCCGTGTTGCTTTAAGCAAGGCTTAATAAGACGACACTGGAGAGGAGCCGCAGGGACAATTTCATTTTAGTTCAGATTTGCAGATGCTACAGATGGCGTTTGCACCCTCGCTCGCTTGTTTAAGAGCGCATTGTCCCATCTGGCATTTGCTCTTTTTCTTCCTTATGTTGCTTGATGTTGGCGTTCCATGCCTGAAATGGCTTACGTTCGGTAGGCTGGTATAGATTATGGAGCTGTGTAGGAATATCGGTTGATAGGTTTATAGGTAAGTAGTAGGGCGGATGGGTTTTTTTTTGTTAATTATGTGGGTGCATAGGTAGGTATGTAGTTGGTTGCATGGATAGGTAGATAAGTATGTAGGTCGGTTATAAGTATGTCGGTGGGTTAATAGGTATGTGTGTGGGTAGGCAGGTTTACAGGTTAATAGGTGATCAGGTAGGTGGGTAGAGTAGGTAGGCAGGTTTGTAGGTAGGTGAGTGGGTAGGCACGGAAGCAAATAAGTAGGTCGGTGGTTACTTAGCCAGATAGATTTATGGGTAAGTAGGTAGGTGTTTAATTAGATAGGTATGCAGATACAGGGGTAAGTTGGTAAGTAGGTGTTAGTTAATCGTGTAGGTAGGTGGGTGGGTCGGTATCCATCTGGTTATGTGAATTAGTATGTAAGTGGGCAGGTAGGTATGGATATAGATAGGTAGGGAAGGAATATAGGTAATGGGCTAGGCAGGTAGGAATGTTGTCAGATATCCAGCGAGGTATGTGGTTACATACATCAGTAGGTACACAGATAAAGAGGTAGTCATCTTCCGATTCTATCGTGCGTGTTATCCAGAGGTTAGCGTGAGATGTCTCAGCCTAATCCGTGCGCTTGCCTTTGCGGATATTGCAGCCGCGAATTTACAATCCAATCATAAAACAAGTTCCCAGCTGGTGGGGACGCTATCCCTCTGATCACTAACAAAGTGCAGAGTAAGGCTTTGTACATTTATTCTCGTTATTTGTTTCTTGGTGTTACGCTGCACGTTTAGCGTGTTGTTCTGCGTACCCCCGTGGGGGTCGGGGTCGGGGAGCCGAGGGGGATGGGGGGGGCTGCAGGGAAATTCATGAACGGACTCCGCGCTGGTATCACCTTCGCTCAAACGAGTGCTGGGTCCCCGGTGAGCAAAACGAGCCACTGTGTGGAAATTTACACGTTCGTTTCGCTTTCAACCACCACCACTGCCCACCCCCCACGCCAAGTTGTGCAGTCTCTCCAAGTGGTGCTTATTTTAGAGAGCCCAGAAGCATGACAGTGACGATGACAATCATACGGACAGCAATGATCACCATGATGATATTCATGGTATTGATGATGATGTTGATGACGATGACGACGATGAAGACGGTGATAATTATGATGGTATTGATGGATATGATAATGATGATATTGATTATGAAGTGATAAAGACGATGATAATATGTATATTAATTGGATGAATCCACGAGTACACTGGCAGTTGTGGGTTGGAGGAAAGAAAATTAAACGGCACTGTTTGGGGGAAACTTACCCCCCCCACCAGGTTACTGCCTAACGTGGCAATCAATCACTCAAATCCTTTCCTTTTTTAGCACGGTCCGTGTTAAGTCCATTGCAGGAACAAAATGTTTTTTTTTGTGGTCCCAAGGGTATCCTTGGGTGTAAACAACGGCAGAAAATCCTGCGGATGAAGCGGTCATTAGAGCACAGAAATGAAGTCAGGAACGCGCGCTGTGCATGTGCGTGTGTGTGATGGTGCTTGGCAGGTATAATCGTATGCAATGTTTGCTAATAGAAATAACGCGTCTCACCTAAGGGGAAAGTGTGCGGAGCACGATAAAAATAAACACGCACGACGGTAATTGATGAAGATTAATCGGTAGGCCCTGGTGGCTTGGAAACACAGTCCCTGATTAATGAGTCGCCTGCATAAGATAATCATTTAATATCTATAAGTGTTGTGCGTGTGTGTGCTGCCGTTATATGTGTGTGTGTCTACGAGTATATATACATAGATCTTTTAATTTAGCAAAGAAACTTAATTATGCGTTGTGCAAAATTAGCAGTATGTTCAGCTTAGGTATGGTAATCATTTCATAGTCACAATTTAACAAAAATATTTTTCTCTCTTGATGTCGGTTGAATTTTAGGAATTGCGTGAGTGGTTAAAGTCACTCGTGCAGCGATAAATCATGCAGGTTACAATTTTGTGACATCTTGCAAAGTGCATACTTTTTCTTGACATTTGTTGTGTTTTTACTATGAGCCGAAATTGGCGTTTACGCTATGACCCTCCCAAATCATAAGCTCAGCACCAAATAGGTAAATGGTCCTGTATCGGATGAGATTAAAGTTCTGTATTGATAAGATTATATTCATATATCGGATGAGGTAAGAGTTTTGTATTGGCTGAGTCATGGGATTTGGGTTTTATACCAGATGGGATTATGGCTCTTTATCAGATGATATGTAGGCTCTGTATTGCATAGGCCACGATTTCTATATTGGATGAGATGTGGGTTCTGTATCATAGAGGCTAATATTTCTCTATAGGATGGGCCAAAGGTTCAGTGTTATTTTGGTCAAGGGTTCTTTATCTGATGAGATAAGGGTTTGATATCAGTTTGAGTTAAGAATTATGTTACAGATGAGATGAGTGTTATGTATGAGATGGGTCAATAATTCTGTATCAGATCAGATGTGGGTTCTGTATTTCATGGGTCAAGAGTTATCTATCGGGTGTGACGAGGCATTGAATATCAGAGGAGATGAAGTTTCTCTATCACAGGTAAGTCAGGGTTTCTGTGTCGGCTCTGACGATGGTTCCACATCGCGACAGAATCACTTGGTCACGACGTCGCTCTTCATTTCCACCCAAAACCCCACCAGGCAGCTGCGAGGAGGCGGTCGAATACGCGGACGATTTTGAAGAGTGCGACGATGACGACGATGAGCAGCTTGAGCTGGCGGTGAGCTGCGCCCGCTCGGCCGTGGGCGCCACCGAGGCCGGCGGCGGCGACAGGAGCGTGGCCGCGTTCGCCCACGGCGACGGGGGGAAGGAGGGAGGCGATAACGACGAGGTCTGCTCTCAGACAAACAACCTGCGGGTTCTACGACAGCACTGCATCGGTAGGTGAACCGGTAGATAATGTTCTAAGGCGCCCTCACGCGAGTTCTATTTTGTTGGAGGCGTCGTCACCGTAAGAATGAAGGTTGAGACAGACAAAGGCAGCTGGGCATATGTGTGTGTGTGCACGCGTTGTATAGGCCGGCGGTTAGCGTGCTGCGCTACGAACCCGGCGGACCGGGTTCGATTCCTGCTAATGGCCAACACCAGTGACGATTATCTGAACTGGTCCTGGGCCTTCCTTAGGTCGACTCAGCTTCAAATGAGTACCTGGTGCAGCGTGTAAACATCGCCACTGGGGAGGCAGAGTCAGTCGGGCGTGGTGCTGGCCACCCACCCCCTGGTGGACCCTTCTGGCCTTCATAGGTGCTCGCTAACAGCACTTGCCCCAACAGTCTGTTTAAGGTTATACAGGGGATCTTTGTTTTGTTTGTGCAGGCCACACCTTCTGAGGGTTCACTTTAGACCAAACCCGGGCATATTTCTCAGTCAGCCCAGCTCAATCGAAACTGGGCATTATACTGTGATAACGTTAAACACAATATCACCAAGATCTTGGTACAAATCAATTGATGCCACCCGAATACTGATATGCCAATTTCCGGAATGTATGGGACAAGGCCGGACAAGTGGCCACCGTAATACACCTGCCTTGTCACTCCAGTGCCACCTCTAACTAGAGCATGTTTGATGATCATCACAAGAAGAGGGTTTAAAAAAAAAAGACAAAGTTTCAAACGTGTGTCAGACATCCCTGGACACACAGGTTAGAGGTTACGTACCTGTACAACTGCTTTGTTTTTTACATCATAGAAATGTCCTCTATTTATCCAGGCAAGATACTGCATCTCAAGACTTATACAGGAGGGGTCTGCATTGAGATATTTACCCGATTTAATTTTTAACGAGTTTTTTTCATCCGGTTAACTATTTATCCAGGAGAGCATGATTGAGCAATAAGACTTTTTTTTCAAGAGGGCCCTGTTTAAACATGATTGGGTCAATTTCTTTGTGAGTGATTTTGTGTGTATGTGTGTGGGAGGAATCCAGAGTGTGTGTGGATAACTCCAAAGCATGCAAATGAGAAGGCAACACCTGAACTGGGAACGGATAGTTTATGAAATTATTATCTCCCAGCGATTAGATGAATTGTCACCAATGGGGTGATTATTAACAAACAAAAATAACAAAAAAAAATACTTTAGTACCATCATATTTGTATGTTGTTTCATTTCATCTGGATGGTCAACGCCCACGCATGGTGTTATAGGATGCGGGGTTGCGGGCAACATAGGGCAGTACAGAAAAGTCGATTGTTGTACCATTACTTTATGCTCCCTCGCCTATGCCACCCGCCTTCAGCGACCCGCACTGACCAGCGTGGTGAAGTATGGCCAAATAACCTCCCCCCCCCCCGCCCACAAAACCGCGTGGTGTCGGGGAAGGCCTCATCCAGCAGCGCATTGAGAAAATGGGCCATAGACCTGTACAGTGCTTATTTACATTTTTACACAAAGTAAATTTTGGTGGAAACCTAGGGCCTCGCCAAGATGCATTTTCACACCCACACCTGCCAACCACATATCACGACTCAAACTACCGCTGTATCCCTCGCTCGTGAGAAGGGAGCAAAGGCATGGGGGGGGGGGAAGGGGGTTTCAACGGATGTTGCTCAAGGCGGCGTGTGGTTGGCGTCCTTCATGTTATTTACGTCGTCGCCGGCGCAGTTTGTGCTTTGCGATCCACTCAGAATGCTAATCGGCCGACGCCAAAAAGAGAGGCAGGAAAGTAACCACCCCCCCCCCGCACCCTCAAGACTTTTCATCTCGTGAGCCGCTCACACGTGGGCTCTTCTCGGTTTTTTTCTTCAGCAGAATAAGTACGCTGAGTGTCTGTTGAGATGTAGGCGAAATGTCGCATCAAATTTCCCTGTTTTTTATTTGAATAAGTTGCGTTACTTTTACCGTTTTCAAAAGATTGGAAATGTTTCTCTTTAATGGCCATTACTTGACTTGTGTACTGTCATTAATGTATCGTCTTTTGCAGTAGCATCTCAATTAGAACTGTCTGTGATTGGATACAATCCCTCACATATAGCCTATAATAAATAAATGTATCCTTTTGCGAATCCACTGGTGGATCATTGCTTCCCCCACACCGTGTTTAGCCACTGGGGTTGTTTGACCATACTTCGCCACGCTGGTCAGTGTGATTTGCTGAATGGAGCACCCAGAACCCATTTGGATGTCACTTGCCTCTCGCGTTGGCCACAGCTGGGAATCATACTCAGGTCAGCAGGTTCATCGTAGAATGAGCTGAACACTCAGCCAGCGCATGCATAGCTTATTTCACATTTAAATATATTAACTCTGCTCTAAATGCATTTATCCCCAAAAATATAATTACACGTCCCATTTCGTGTGTAGGACGTGGTTTTTTTGGGAGGACGTATGCATTTGTATCCATCCTATTTGTGAATGTTATTCAAATAGACATAATTTGCAAAAGGAAAAAGAACACGGGGAACCAGATAACGTTCTGGGATCGCGTCAAATCAGGGTGCTTATTTCTTCGTGATGAAAGGCAACACGCTGGAGGCCAGTGAAGGAAAGCAGAGGCTAATCTAAGCTCTTTTATTTGCTTTTTTACGCATTACATGATTGGGCAAACTGCATGCGTGTCGCTGCGTGTTGTCCGCCCGTCCATATATTGACCTGTTTTTGGGAGAAAGGCGCGTGTGAAACGATGTGGATGTCGAAGATAATTGTGCGACCTGTCGAGAAGATCCAAGCCCTGCGTGGAGTGTGGAGTCTTTGAGTGTGGGAGGAAGACAGGACGGGGATGAGGGAGGGTGGGTGGGTGAGTGAGTTCGGTCGGCTGTCGCGAATAAGCGTTCTTGTCATATGTACCGGGTGGTCCAGATGTCTTTTTAACCCCCATTTCACTCTCTAAAAACGTAATATTTTTAAGGAAAGCTTATTGAAAAATGTATATGCAAAGGAAAGCAATGTTAGGGGGTCAATCAGTTGTGAGTCACAAGGCATCTGGGCCATCCTATGCAACAAAAACATTGCAAAGCTTACAATGGGATGATGATGGTCAGAATCGGTAAAAGCTATAATTTGACGTCAGCGCATTTTGCGGTAAGCGTGGCACGTTCTGTGTTTGCTTTCGTCCGTATGTTTTATTGTTTTGCCAGCAAATATTTCCACGGGGGTATTTTGGCGCTCAAATGACCGCGCGAATTCAATTACTCGCTTCAGACATCGTGTTCCTTTTGACATGCGTGCGAGTGACACACGCGGGCTCGTTTTCCATCGCTCTCGGCAACATCCCTGTCCACGCTCCTATCTTGTAGGTTACCGACGACAAGGAATCGCAAACTGTGACAATAATACGGGAGGAACAAAGAGTTTACAAAAGAAATTTTGTACAAAAAAAAAACCTCTAAATTATTTTGTCGGTCAATATACTTTGAAAAGGAAGCAGCTCTTGCCGAAAGGAGGCTGGCCAAATGGGGAGATTACAGCGAGATGTATCGATCGTCGAGACTGAAAAGAGAAAGGAAAACGGGGGGAAAAAGAGGGCATCTTGAGCCCACTGTTTGCATGCGGGTCTGACTGTGAGGCTCTGTCCTCCCTCGAAAGTGGCACACACGGGAGTGGCTATCCAGCTCAGGGCCGGCGCGCGAGGCTTGCGCGAGGAGACGGCAGTTTTTGTCAAAAAGTGTAGTAGTCATAGTAGTAGTAGAGTTGTTATTGATATTAATGTTTTTAATTCTCATCCCTGTTTAAGTAGCATTTCAATGTATAAATCTCCCCCCCCCCTCTCCCAAACCCCCCACTCCACCGCCCCCTCCCCCTGGCATTATCAGACATCTCCACTGTGAAGCTCGTGTGTGGAAGCTGTGTTGTTTGTGAGTGCTTGTCGCGGACAAGAATCTTTCATGCACCATTCCTCCCATGTAAAGCCAAGACTCGACCCCAACGAAAAATAAACACCTATTAGCCCGCGTCCTTAAACGAGAGGCTTGCGCCAGGAGACGACAGTTTTTTTTCGAAAAGTGTAGTAGTCATAGTAGTAGTAGAGTTGTTATTGATATTGTTTTAAATTCTCATCCCTGTTTAAGTAGCATTATTTCAATGAATAAATCCCCCCCCCCCCTCTCTCAGACCCCCCCACTCCACCGCCCCCTCCCCCTGGCACTATCAGACATCTCCTCTGTGAAGCACGTGTGTGGAAGCTGTGTTGTTTGTGAGTGTCGCGGACAGAAATCTTTCATGCACCATTCCTCCCATGTAAAGCAAGACTCGGTCCCAACGAAAAATAAACACCTATTAGCTCACGTCCTTAAACGAGTTTTTATAAGAACAAGAAGACTTTAGAGTCCAATCATGCGTGGCTTCGTGGCTCCGTGGCATGCTATTGATGATTTCACTTGCGATGCCGTAATATAACATCGGTGCAGTGATGTTGGTGCTGCTTGATGTTGAACAAGTCTTACATTGTTTTAAAAGTATTTTTTTTTATCATTAACAAAGCTTCAAAATCATATTGAATAACCAAGAACACATTGTTGAAAGGAGCTATTTGTTTCAAAACATTCACACTTAAGGGTCTAAATTATTACTCTTAGGTTTTTTCGGTAAAGTCACGTAGGTAAAAATAGATAAAAAATAAATAATAATAGAAATAAAAGAATAAATCACGACGTTTCGGAGGCAACACAAGTCTCCGTCATCAGGTGGGACCGTCACAGCTAAATTTATTGTATCAAGTGAGGCAAAATTCCAAGAGACAAGCTCTTAAATACAAGTTAAGGGTGAGGGGCTTATCTGAATGTGGTAGCCAATGAATGGAACGTGTTTGAGGGGTGGGCGGGGCTAAAAGAGAACAATAGGTGCACTTGGGGTTGTAACCCGGTGTTGGCTGACAATCCAAATACAAAAACAGCAGTACTGTTAAACGCTGGGGATGTCAACACTTGGTAAAGTAGAATAGT